ATCCATCAGGCCTGTCAGTGGAGGAATATTAGACAGGAAGCCCAGAGAGAAAAGACAAAACCCAGTTGGATCTCGGCCCCATGATTAGTTACCTTACACATGGCTGTCATTACACCCTCAGAATTAAATGATAAGATTCCAATTACCTTCTAATTTAAACCACCGGTCACATTTGAGACGAGGATGATGGAGCCTGCCGCTAAGGATTTCAGGTTGTATTACTTTTCTGCAGGTAAAAAAGGAAATTGAGAAAATCTTTTAGATTAAAATAGGATAGTGTAAATGACCTGCCTCCATGAAAAAGCTCCTTATGCATGTCATGTTAAATCTATAATGCATTTTTTCTCCTGCTCACTGTCATGACAAATGAAAAATCTTATCAAAGGAACATTTTACATGAACAATATCTGAACTTGTTTTTAAGGTTTATCAATCTCCAAATGTGTTAAATGCAAATCCAGAGGGCCTGCATTGTCTTCATCCCAACATTAGGGGTTCTTGTCCTCTAATTAATCCGGCTTGTCCCCCTCCTAAACACTGGATCAGTTTGCAGGACTGCTGCATTATTCAACGTAGCCGTGGGTGAGAGGAAGTCTGTGGTCTGGAGTCACCTTTCTCTGGGCCGAGCGGCAAAGCGAGACAGATGGAGAAGGATGAGAGGGATAAATGAAAGTAATGGAAGAGGAGTTGAGGAAGGGGGAAGGTGAGAGGAGGAGGGTGATGAAAGGGGGGAAAAGGGAAAGAAATAAAGAGAGAGCTTAAAAAGAAGAGAGAGATCAAATGGTCGATGTGGTTCAAAGCGAAGGGTAACAACTAAAAGGCCACATCCGTATGAGAAACCGCAGAAGGGTCAGAGGTTCGTAGACCGGAAGTCCATGTCCAGCTTTCAATTCTTTGCTTCTGCTGACAAACCATCAAAAAAAACACACTGACTTTTTTTGTTGCCGTGTATTCTTTTCTGACAGAACACCCAATGATGAGTTGACAACAATATGTCTCTTTCTCCCTTCTTTTATTGTTGATCACCTTTTATTCTTCAGAACCAACCTTTTTTCCCGACCTCAAAATACATCCATCTCCTCCGTCTCTCTCTTTAAATATACACACTGCGCCCACAAATACAAGGTTCATGTCATGTACCATCGCTTCATACAGAAACACACATCTGAAATCAGCGGCAATCGTCGTTTAGAGAGCCGTCATAATAGAAAGCTTTGGAATGGCAAAAGTACATTGCGCTCACACAGTCTGAAAACAAAGCTGTTGAAATAAACTATGTGGATCAGGATATACTGAAAGTAACGAAATGAAATACAAAGCAGACAATAGATCCATACATGCTTTGACAGACCTGTTTTACTCAGAGAGGAATGAACCATCAGGGAGACTCAGTTCACACTCACGCTGTTAAAAGTTCTGGCAATAAACTCACAAAATGGTCATTTACAGCACATTCACCTTGATGGTTATGTAATGGTTACTTACTCTACGTCTTTACTCTTGGCAAACATATAGTATATTATTCACATAGTATTCACATAACATAATATACATCTGTATGTACACATTCCTTCTACCCTCGAGAAAAAGTGTCCAGGCACTTCCTGCAGTGATCCTGGGTCAGATCGCTGACCACAATGTAGCTACCCCATTCTTCATCCTCATCAAAAAACAAGCTGCTCTATCAGTGAGCTGTGGGAGCCTGGTGATGTTGGAACATTGTTAGATTCCTCACATACCCTGGCACTCCCATCTGAACCAGACTGTGAGCTGCGAACTACTGTAGCAACAGAGTTCGCATAGCTGCCATTTCTCAGTTTCTGTGGGCTTCAAGGTGTCTCTGCTTGTTTATAAGGGCAGGTCCTGGAGTGATAACTTTAATGCCTGTCTTGAAATCCTGCACTTGTAAAAATGTCAGGAGATATGATGGTGCATAACATATTTATAAGGGCAATAACGAAGTGAGAAATAGATACTTTCTTGAACATACTGTAATTTAAAAAAATACAAAGGAAATTGCTTCCTGGTTCATTTCACTAGCTGACCATTATGTGGATAATACTGCCTGATGTTCTTCAATTGATCCGGGCATTTATAACACTAAAGGTCTGCATGCCTTGTCTGCTTGGTGAAAACAATTGATTTAATTTGGTCAGACCAGTGGTATCTTAACAGCAGGGTCTGTGGGCAGTATTTGTTATTGTTGCTCTTGTATACCAATATTATTGTAGGATAGGTAAGATGGCCACTATCGGGAGAACACCAGCGTTCATGCAGTAGCATATTTCCCTCTGCAAAATGTAAATGCCCCTTTTTATTTATATATATTTTATTTATTTATTTTACACCACTAGGAACAACAACTGAAATTCATGTCAAAACGTATCAAAATTAACCCCCTTCATGAAAGGGTGGTGATACAATTCAAACTGGTTACGCTTGCTTTACAGTACAACCAAATGCCTCAGACAACAAGAGTAAAAGGAGCCACAGACTCAAACCTGAAACGCAGCACTGGTTGAGACACTTCACCACGGCATTAATGGAACATCATTTTTCATCACGATGGCATGTCAGTACATTTCCAGCAGATTCCCCCCCTCTCTCTCCTCGTCCTTTTTTCCTTCCCGCTGGGTATAAAATACAAACAATCACTTTGGAGCTAGAACAATAGCTGATGCAGTACATAGTGTATGTTTGTAGGCATACATCAAGATGAAGCAGTAGAGCAAAGTAAAGAGAGGATTCAAGTCAGTCGATGGGATTGGCACTGTGACAGTAATGAGACAGGAATCTTCAGTGGTGACACCAGGCCCGGTGCTGTGGTCCCTGGAAACATCCACCAATAGCACACATGGTAATCCAGCACAAACATTATGGCAAAATACAACACATTGCACTACTGTACAGCTTCTGCATCAACACTGTTGAGGGCTGGGCTATCCTAATGCTGTAGGTCCTTGTTAAAATATCGTGTTGCTGTTTGTTCACCAATAGGAAAACCTTTTAGATGTATTCAATGATTTGAATAATCTGTCCTATCAATAGAGATTAAGGCAGTTTATGGTATGGTAGATAAGTCATGCCACAACCGCAGAGCACTGCTGTTGTATGTAGCTCTTGAAAGAGAATAGAATGCTTCCACGTTTAGATAATTCTGTTGTGACTCTGCACTTTCATCCAGCCCCCTCGCTTTTTAAACACGATGAAACAAAGCCAAGGTGGCCCCTCTTCAGAATAGACAGGTCCATTTTGTTGCTCAGAATATTGTTTGGCTGCTACAGAGACCCTCTGCACAAAAGAGCTTTAGTCCGGAGGCAAAGAGGACCAAGAAAAGCACAAAAAATATCAAAAGAGATAAACATCACCAACAAGGAGGAAATCACAGCTGTACATTAAAGGTTAAAAGTTAGAACCTTGATCTTGTTTTTTTTTCTTCTCTCTTTCTTTGCAGTCCGTTCAAACCATAGGTCCAAACACTAAAGTAGAGGGGTCTCTGGGGGGCTTTCAGTTGAATCTCCAGCTGACGGGATGTCTTCGCTGTGGTGAATATTTGGTTGCTATCTCCCTTCAAAGCAGTCCAAGTACTCCAGAACAAGGTCATAGCAGAACCGATACTGGTCCTGAGGAAAAATACAATATTCTTCAATTAAAAATAATAAAATAACATAATCATAGGCATATTCTTGCCAATTGAAAACACACAGTTTATTTATTTACAGACGCTCTCACCAGGGACTCCACCATATTGGGTTTGCAGTTGCGTAGAGTTTTGACCGCATAGAAGATGTCCACCATGTTCTGGTACTGGATCATCTCAAGGAGAATGTTGCTGGCACAGAGGGTCCCACTGCGACCACCACCGTTACTGCAGATGAGAAGATAAGTTTGAGAAAATAAAAACAAAATACAAATCTTCAAGAAAAGCCTTTTGTATTTTAGATCAAACCAAATCAAATCAAAAATGTATTACAGCCCCAAATCACAATAAATGCCTCAAAAGGGCTGTACAAAGCAAAGAAAATCGAAAGACAAAAACAAAATACAAACGTCATAGCATAAAAATTATGAAATCATTATACAACTTTATACAACAACATACAGGACTGTCTCAGAAAATTAGAATATTGTGATAAAGTTCTTTATTTTCTGTAATGCAATTAAAAAAACAAAAATGTCATACATTCTGGATTCATTACAAATCAACTGAAATATTGCAAGCCTTTTATTATTTNATTGCATTACAGAAAATAAAGAACTTTATCACAATATTCTAATTTTCTGAGACAGTCCTGTAAGTATTGCCATGTGATAAAAGCATGTGACTGAAGTGATGCTAGTGTAGATGGAAACTAGGTGATGGAAATTAGTTGACAAGGAAGACGGATGCGAAGAGA